GGGGCTGGAGATTGTGATAGGTGATCAGGTGAGGGCGTGCCATACCTGGATCGATAGCCTTACCATACCTGGTGGTAATTTAAATTTATTACCATATTCAATATTTCCCAAGTTATGGCCTTACCATACTTGGATTGATAGCCTTTGGGGTAATTTAAATTTATTACCATATAATTACCATATTCAAAATATCCTGAGTTATGACCTTACCATACCTGGATTGATTTATTACTATACGCGGATTAATTATGATTTATTACTATACGTGGATAGCCTTACCATACCTGGTGGTAATTTAAATTTATTACCATATTCGATATTTCCCGAGTTATGGCCTTACCATACCTAGATTGATAGCCTTTGGGGTAATTTAAATTTATTACCATATAATTACCATATTCAAAATTTCCTGAGTTATGACCTTACCATACCTGGATTGATTTATTACTATACGTGGATTAATTATGATTTATTACTATATGATTTATTACTATACGTGGATAGCCTTACCATACCTGGTGGTAATTTAAATTTATTACCATATTTGATATTTCCCGAGTTATGGCCTTACCATACCTGGATTGATAGCCTTTGGGATAATTTAAATTTATTACCATATAATTACCATATTCAAAATTTCCTGAGTTATGACCTTACCATACCTGGATTGATTTATTACTATACGTGGATTAATTATGATTGATTACCATAAATACGTTGGGTATTGCCCGTCAGACGAGAAAAGAGAAAAACCGGTGGGAGGGCTGGTGGGAGGTGGGAGGAAGAAAAACCGGTTGAAAATAAACCGGTTGAAAATAAACCGGTTGAAAGTGAGGGGGACTATTCAACCAATTCGTCCATCTCTACTCCTAATGGACGAATTGGTTGAATAGTCCCCCCCACTTTCAACCGGTTTACTTTCAACCGGTTTATTTTCAACCGGTTTATTTTCAACCGGTTTTTCTTCGTCCCACCCCCCACCAGCCCCTCCCACCGGTTTTTCTCTTTTCTCGTCTGACCGGCAATACCCGACGTATTTATGCTAATCAATCATAATTAATCCACGTATAGTAATAAATCAATCCAGGTATGGTAAGGTCATAACTCAGGAAATTTTGAATATGGCAATTATATGGTAATAAATTTAAATTACCCCAAAGGCTATCAATCCAGATATGGTAAGGCCATAACTCAGGAAATATCGAATATGGTAATAAATTTAAATTACCACCAGGTATGGTAAGGCTATCCACGTATAGTAATAAATCATATAGTAATAAATCATAATTAATCCACGTATAGTAATAAATCAATCCAGGTATGGTAAGGTCATAACTCAGGAAATTTTGAATATGGTAATAAATTTAAATTACCCCAAAGGCTATCAATCCAGGTATGGTAAGGCCATAAATCGGGAAATATCGAATATGGTAATAAATTTAAATTACCCCAAAAGCTATCAATCCAGGTATGGTAAGGCCATAACTCGGGAAATATCGAATATGGTAATAAATTTAAATTACCACTAGGTATGGTAAGGCTATCCATGTATAGTAATAAATCATAATTAATCCACATATAGTAATAAATCAATCCAGGTATGGTAAGGTCATAACTCAGGAAATTTTGAATATGGTAATTATATGGTAATAAATTTAAATTACCCCAAAGGCTATCAATCCAGGTATGGTAAGGCCATAACTCGGGAAATATCGAATATGGTAATAAATATAAATTACTGCCAGGTATGGTAAGGCTATCGATCCAGGTATGGCACGCCCTCACCTGATCACCTATCACAATATCCAGCCCCACGCACGCACCAAAGAACCGACCCGGCACCAAACGCAGCTCCTCTCGACCCCCTCGAGTAAATGCCGCCACCGTCGTGCGATCTTCCTGACACAGACGCCGTCGCCGCCTCCTTCCCACCTACGGCGTCCCCCACGTCCATGGTGACGGCGCTCGCGTCCTACACTGACCCTCCGCCTCATATAGGTTGGTCGTTGATGGAGTGGGATGTGCCGCTGCGGTTTGGGGAGGCGCAATCACGATCTGGTTGGGATCTCAGTGTGGACTCGTTCTCTACGATGAAGGATGGCGCTGCCTCCCTGGCAAATGGGATCGGAGGAAGGGGCTCTACGTCGTGAATGTCGGCGAGGCAGCGGCCGAAAGCGAGCCCGACGGTGAGCACGGGTGTTCGTCCCATGAAATAGGCGGCCACGGAGGGCGGATCTGAGGCCACCCCAATCGCCGGTGGCCCTTCCTCCCATCGCTCATCGCCTCCATTCTCTCTCTCCTCTAAATCTTTGTCGCCCCTGCCTGATTCTGGCCGACGCCATCCAGCTCTCGCATCGACCACCACCAGCACGGCTGCGGACGAGGCACAACCGCAGACGCCGCCGCCGCCATCCTCATCCACCTCCTCCACCATCCTTCCCAGCCGTCGTCGGGGGCACCCGCCATTTGCGCTCTAGCCCACCCGCTCCCTCCTATCCCCTCCCCCTGCCTGCCAGCCCCGTGATCCATCGCACAGATGGCAGGTACTACAGCGACCTCCTCCCCAGCGGATCCGGCCTCCTCCGATGGAGATCCATCCTGGGCACCGCCTTATTCTCATGCGTGCACGTCTATATCAACGTCTCATTCCACCTCACCTCACCTGAGCCTTTACCTTCCCACCTCTGCTTCAGATCCACATCACTTTGCAAGGTATGTGCTTGATTGTTCCGAACTGGATTGATGGATTATGCAAGGTACTTTGGGTGTCGTCATTGACGGCAATTGTCACGCCATGCTACCATCGGAGGGGTCCCTCATCGATGATTAGGGTCTTTCGAATTGCACGAGCTCCATTGAGAAGGATGTTTTTAATTCTGGTTTTGCCTACATGTTTTCTTTGCCTGTATCTACTTAGCTAATGTCTTCTTATAGATAGTAGCTGCTGAAGTGGTGATCAAAGTTGTTCACTATAAGGAAACAACCATGATAACAAAAGTGTATATTCCCTGACCTTTGACCTGAAGTACTTTTTCATTAGAAACTTGCAACAGCCAGGCATTGAAATTAGCAATAGCTTCGTACGTACTGAACTAATTTGCAGCAACATGTACTGAACTAAGTTAGGTTATGCTCATCGTTCCAACATGCTTAGTGATAACCACCTAGCAAGCTGATCAAACATAAAAAAATTGAAGTGCTACTGCTAATCGTACTATTCTGAATGTGAAAATCTATTTAATTGGCTCTTCTCTAATTGTACACTTGCATAAATCTCAGATCTTGCAAATTACAGTATAACCATAAAAGTCATGCTTTGACTCCTATAGGGCCTTTTGCATTTTAATATGACTAATAATTTTCCTTAATATCACAGATTGTATTACTACCTTTCTAAGTGAATGACATTCAAGAAGGTCATTAAATAAAACCAAGAAATCCTTCTGGTATTGGAGTGTAGGAAAGTTGAGACTATAAAACCAAAAGGTTATATTTACGTTTATTAGAGAAGGTTCTTTACTTTTTATAGGAAAACACAAAATGTTGCGATGTAGTCTAGGTGGTGGGCCTCCTTGATCCACTTGGTGGATGAGGGCGACTCCGGTCCTGGCACCCATAGTGCCAGTGATCCAAAAATCATAGGGCCTGGATATAGCTCTAGCAGACGTATGCGGCTTGCGCATCGAGCTTGATCGTCTCGAGCATGGAGATAGGCGAGTTGTAGACCAAGAGCTGGTACAGAGATAGGCGAGTTGTAGACAAGAGCTGGTGGGCTGCAAGAAACGCATGCACACCAAAGAACAAATCTGAGTCACATGCCTACTTCTATTGGTTTCTACAAAGAGCGGCTAGCTTAGATCTTAGACCAGTCGGTCACTGTCGAGGTCGCCAAGGTGATCTTACAGCACCGCCGTGGGGATTTCTCATGATTTTATGTAGGCAGGCCGCAAGCGGTGGTGGTGATTGGCTGGGTGGTGTCGCTGCCTTGGGAAGAGACGAAGTGATGGTAAAAGTAAGCATGATCCGATGATTCTTCCGTGGGGATAGCCAAAGTCAAGATGTCGACTACAGACTTGTCGCAGACTTGCAGTGAACCTGGATGCGGCAAGCCTGATTTGTGGATCGATGGCGGGTCTTGACTTTGTTAGGCCGGGATTGGATGGTTGCGGAGGGTGGTGTGCTTGATTGGGTTCCCATGGAAGAATGTGGCCTCCTCGTGGATCTGGTCATGCCCATCCTAGAGAACATTGTGTCCCTAGCTCCCTCGAGGAGCAAGGACAGTGCAAGCGGCAGCAGGGGGTAGGGGTAGATGTGGGGAGGGATGTCGGCGGCTGCTCGAGGTCATCATGATGAAACCCTTGACGTCCCATCTTTATCAATGGAAGTGGAAGAGCACGAAGTCGAGATTGGATAGGAGTTTGAGTTCTTTTTGGCACCGATCGGTTCCCCACTTTAGAGATGTATTTTTTTGCGTGCGAGCAAACAGTGGGTTGATTCTAAAAGGGATAGGCACTTTTCAACAGAAGTGCATGACGGACCAAAAATATGACCTCATTTTATTTGTTTGATAGATATCGTATTATTGGTTGTTGTTCGTTCGGTGAAATTTCCTAATATTTGATTGTTGTGTTTCTAATTAGAGCACCCCATAATCACCCAATATGAGGGGATGATAAATGAAAGATATTGATTATAAATTTTAAAGAGCCCATGGCAACGCACGGGCGTTATACTAGTTAGAAGTAGAGATAGGTACCCATCCACACTCTATTCCGTGAAGCACCTCCTAAAGACTAAGCCAACAAATTTTGAAATTGACAAAGTCACCACATCAAGAGGCTAAATTTAGTTACACATCAATCTGGGTGGGGATTAAAACCAGAAGCGTGAGATCTGAAATCGAACACGTGTACACGTACGACCCATTTGTTACTTCCGGTCGCGCAGGTACGTAAGTGGATTGGATTCGATCGGTCGGCCGTGGCGGGATCGATCGATGGTTAATTGCGCATGGTGATGGCGGTGGAGGAGGTGAGCATGTGCGTCACGGTGGTGACCCACCTCTTGTACACGGCGTAGTCGTCGGCGCGGAGCTCCACCTTGCCCCTGCTCGTCCTCACCTCCACCGGGTACGTCGCGTCCCCCTCCCGGCTCGCCTTCTCCGGCGCGCACGGCCGGACGTCCTCCACCACGCCTGCCAACGTACCAAACGTGTTGAAAGAACTAAGAAAAGGGAAAGGGTGTTCGATCTCATGCAACTCATGGTGTTTGCTTACATTCTTTGGTGTTGGAGAAGGCCTGCATGACCAAGTTCATCTTCTTGATCCGGAGGACGACCTTGCCGTTCCTGTCCGTGGCCGCGGACACCGTGTGCAGCTTCCACTTGCCTGCACGGACGGCAACATGCATGAGATGAGAAGAGTTTGATCATGGCACGACACGCACGATGCGACGGCGGCCGGCTTACCGTCAGGCATCGCGACGAACAGCTCGTCGCCCTTGGCCAGCGCCGCCTTGGACCTCGCGTAGTTGAAGTCGAAGTCCAGGTCGTCCTGCCACGGCGCCGTGCCACCCTGGTCCGCCCTCTCGCTCTGCCCATGGCCGCCGCTGCCGCCGCGCCTCCCTCGCAGCGCCGCCGCGCCCCGCAGTGCTGTCAATTCAACGCGCAAACAAATGATCTCGTGATCTGAATTCTTTGGAACCATGTCACATCTCAAAACGTCTCCGGCCGGTCGAGAGGGCTTACAGGTGGCGGCGGCGGCGGTGAGCGTGATCACGTTGCTGGCGTCGGTGGCGGCCACGGCGGCGTTGACTGCCGCGGCGACCTGGTCCCGCGTGGCGCCCGCGGCCTCGGCCACCTTGGCGCACTGCGCCGCCACGAGCGCGGCGGCCGAGGCCACCGCCGTCTCCCTCATCGACGCCGACGCCGAGCCGCGCGCCGCGGGCGCGGAGTTCTCCGCGGCGATGGCGGCGAGCACGGCCGCGACGCCCGCGACGGACACCGCGGCGTGGACCTCGGCCCTGTGCAGCCGCGCCTCCTCCTTGCGCTTCTGCTTCCGCTCCTTGACCCACTTCTTGAGCGAGATGCCGCTCCACGGCGCCGACATCTTGCGCGGGAGCTGCGTCCACACGTACCAGGTTCAAATATTTAAGATCCAGCAAAATCATGGAAACATATCGCGTGCCATTTAAATATCCTCGATCCGCGCGTTAATTGGAAATCAATCAACAAACCATTTGCCATCTGGCTTCTTCTACTGCACGATTCGTTCCATTTGCATCACGATCACGTTTCGTTTTTGCAAAGAGCAAATCGTGCTAATTAAACCTGCCGGCTCCTAAATCCTTTCACTCACCCATTTCTTCTTGTTGTCGTAGTCCAGCTCCGGGTGAATGGCCTTCTGCAGCCATATCCATGACTGAAAAAACACCGCCAAAAAGCACACAGTTAACACCATCAGGCTATACCAAAGCTTGCACATACACCATGAACATCACATGGCCGCATCAACTTTGTACCTTCAGATCGTCGTATTTCCATTGCGGTTGCGTCGTGCCACCGAAGCCGCTGTCGTCAACAACCAAGCTACGATCATTCCTCTGCAAAACAACCCGGGGCATCCATATCCTGAGTGTGATCTCCTGACAAAATGCTACTTATTTGCTACAGTACAATGAAGTTACCTACACTTACCTGCAGCTGCGACAGGTCTCTCCTATCATCGTCAAGCCCAATGACAGGGTGCTCCACCAGCGCTAGCGAGCGATCCTCCTCCTTCGGACCCGTCTGAAGAACTTGGATCGCCGAGCTGCACCACGCGCTCGACAGCAGGTCCATCGGCTCCTCCGATGGCGGTGGCTCTTCGCGCACGATCGCCATCAGGCCTCTGTGATCCGGCTCCATGCCAACAGCTAGTTCCACCAGAGGTTAGCAACTGATCAGAGACTTATACAGGACAGAGATATGGTTTGATCTCTGGTGGTTGTGCAGAGGCAGCTTCCCACCTGCAGCCGAATAGAATGCCTTGGCAGGAACCAGATCCTCCATCAGATCACTAGGATAGCTCCAACCACTTTAGTCCAACTTTTAGCTGTAAAAAAACTTAAACAAGACAGGTGTCACAGAGGGGCAGTGAGTTTAATACCCCAAAACACTGATTAAACAAGCGTGTTAGTGGGCTTTTGGGGGGAATAAGAGTGGGGTAAATCATTAGCTTCACCCATTCATGCTTTAGCTGCACACAAAGAAGATGGAATCAAAATGGGGGACCTCGGAGCCTTTATCGTAAAAAAAAATACATCGGCATAACCGTCCTTAAACATTCAGGGAGTCTTAGTACGCACTTTGGTGCTGGATTTCATACTTGAACCGATTTAAAAATTGGAACCATGCTGCAAAGAGGGGGTACTTAGGTTTTCCTGGGTCCAATGGTCCCATCTATTCTACTGATAATCAGAGGCTTCTGTGGGAGAACATGCCATGTTTGGAGATTGGGTTGCCACTGCTGCAGAAGAAAATTGAGAAAAGGCAGCAGGATGAGGGTGTCCTCCAGAGGATGCTACAGAACTTTCCTAGCATCATTGCCATGCGTGCAATACTGCAATGCTGGAGCAAAGACGTACACTGTATGGGTCACTGACCGTAGAGCTGCAGTGTCGTATCCCGTAGCGGCAGAATGCGAGAATCTAGTGGAATGTTCAGTGAACTGGGATTCAGTATCTCATCCTGTAACATAAATTCTGTCAACAAAATATGCAAGTCAGGATATTATATATGAGCTAATTCTCACAGGAAACCGGGGGAATATACATGATGTAGAACTGTAGATAGCCTTGAAATTCTTCAGTTCTGAAGTATCACTGTACTATGGTGTCGATGTTGTTATATAGCTTTGAGTTTTGAATTCAATGAGTGTTGAGAACTCTTAACTGATTGTGTGCTGGGTCAGCAGAAAATCAGCATATCAAGCAGAAGGTGCTGATGCCCCCCACTTGCTTGCAGCTACAGTGCCATAGCCTTTCCCATTTTGGAATAATGAGCTTTGGCACATAGCAGGAGGGAATTTCATTAACTGTTGAATCATTAGCCATCAGCTCCTCAAGAAGTTGCAGCATGGTTTGCAGTAGGAATAGTGCTTGCAGGTCATCCAAAACAGAGTTGCCATTGGTGAGGAATAGTTGAGCAACTCCAAACATCGCTTCTTCAAAAGGTGAGTAAGACTCCAGTGAGGGGCAGTAGTTTCTCATTGCTGGTTGGTGTAATAATCAACATCTTAAAGCAAATTTGGTGGCTTAAAGCTTAGATGTGGTGCATGCATCAGGTTAAATCATTTTTTCACTTATTGCCGCCCGCCTAAAGAGCATTCCAGCTGAAGCCTCTTAGCCATTGTTTATTCTAGCGTCATGTGTAGGCCTTCTAATCCTGTCTGCTGATCATTCACCTTTTGACAAAACTTGAGGGGGATTTTTATATCTCATGGCAAGGGCCCTTTCGATCATGGGATATCGGTTCGATCGTCGAGCTTTACAACTCTTTTTTTAAAATGTAAAGCTGGCTCTGCGGATTCTTGAAGGCTCCCGCATAATTTTTCGAGGGGAAGCTAAAAATCATGTTAATTTGTCGGCATGGAGTTCTTGTCATGGCTTTTTAGTAGCTTTTGGGAAAGGGAGAATGGTTGATGGACAATTTTCAGGGCATGTTCAGAATGTCTTCATCAGGAAAAAGAAAAGTTGCTAGATGGCTAACACTTCACATTCAGCTGAGATCAGATCTGCCATTGTTTTAGCTCAGTAAAACACTTGATTGCTGATTTTTTGAGAAATTTCTGAATCTTCTTATTTATGTGTAAGCAGACTGCCTAGCACAGTCAGCCTATAGTTTAGCAGCATCGCCTTGATGCCCAGCTTGCTGTAGGCCGTTGTGGCTGTCTATTCTTCTGAGTTTCAGTTGATCAGCCTGGTTTTTGTTGATTATATAGAGGGGCAAGTGACATGGAAATAACTCCATAAGCCACATTAGATAGTAACAGTTGTTATAATAACCAAACCAAGAAAAATCAACCCCAGACATGAACTAAGCCATACTCAAACTTCATAGGGGAGAACTCAATATATCAGAAACATTAGCTTCAAGTCTCAAATTCATTATAAACTTTTGCAGGGGAAGAATTACATGACTTGTGTGTTCCCTAGGTTCAGAACTACAAAGAAGATCAACACGCCCTAAATACAGCTAAACATTTTAAATAACCAAGGAAGATGCTTCTTCAGAACCTTGTTTGCGCAGTCTCTGCAATTCTCCAGTTGCTGAAAATTTGAAGCTAAACTATCTCTCCATCAATAATTTGGTGTCTCATCAGAACAATTTCCTTGACAAGATTCCTGTAAGTGAATGGCCGGACAGCCGCCCTCAGGAAGAGCCCTGGAGGGGGCTCGCGCTTCACTCTGACCAGCGCACTTCTGCTCCTTGCACTTTCCTGCTGTACCAGCTTCACCTCATCCTCCTCGGCCTGCTCCTGCTGCATAATCATTGTATTGGAAGTGCCCATTTGCGATTCCATATCTTTCTGCTGTTGCATTTGCCGCTTATTATACTCATATGATTTCTCAACCCTGTTCTTGACCAGTTTCTCCATTTTATCATTACTTTTCATCGCTTTATCCCATTGCTCGTCCCAGTAGTCCTCATTCTCCTCACTACTTTCTATTACTTCATCTGCTTCCACCTCTTCACTGACATCAACCACTTCCTCATCCTCATAGTCGTTGTCTACATCATCCTCGGTATCATCAATCACATCAACCTCCTCATCCTCAACCCAATCAATGATCTCACTTCCAATCTCATCACCACCCTCATCGTCACTCTCATCAGGCGCATCACACCCAAGTTCCATCTCCTCTAGCTTGACTTTCCACTCCTTGGTGTATGGGTGGAGCAGCTCCATGGGATGGTTTGTGAGCAAGAACTCCAGACAGCATGACTTATCCGCCTCACTCAGCTTCGAGTATGCATTTACAACATCATCCACATAAGACTTTGGGCTTGCCTTCACAATCCTGCAAAGGCCCCCGAAGTAGGTCGTCTGAATGACCCTGCCATCCTGTTCAAGGTCAAACAAGAACTGGTTCTCGGTTGAGGGATCAACCAACGGGCGGAGCCGACTGAAGAATTCCTCCTGTGGCTCGAACCTCGACTGGTACAGCGGACGCTTGACATATAGGATGTCCGGGCGCGTCCAGGCCGCGCAGCGCGTGATCAGCTCGCGTGTCGAGTTACCAAACCGGCCCATGAGGCTCCACTTATCCAGCCGCTGGTCCTTGCTGGCCTGGACGGCGACCTCGGCCGAGAGCGTCCACTGCTGCCATGGTGGCTCGTCGGGGCGCCACCTAGGGTGCCGCACGAAGACCCAGTAGTACCGGAAGCCGACGGCATCATCGAGCTCGTTGAGACGGTGTGAAAATTGGTTGGACATCTCGAACTGCTCGTTGCGGTCCCATTCGTCGTGGTCGGCCACCTCGGACATGAGGGAGACGCGGTCGTCGGAGAAGCGGCCGCGGATGGGCGGCCCCACGACGATACCGCGCCAGGAGTAGGGCCCGAAGGCGCCGAACCTGTACCAGTCGTGCGGGTGGCGGAGGCGCGGGTCGTCGGGCCCGTCCATGAAGCGGACGGAGCGGTCGTAGCCGAGGCCGATCATCTCGAGCTCCTCGTCGGTGAAGGTGTCGGCCTGGCCCGAGGCGGCGCGGCGCTTCCGGCGGTAGAAGGCGTTCTCCGAGAGGCGGCGGCTGCGGCGCTTGGCCCGGGACTTGGCCTCGCGCCGCACGTCGCCGCCGCCCTCGATGCGGCCGCCGCCGGGCTTCTTCTTGCTGCGGCCGGCGCGGGCTACGGTGGAGGGGGGCTCCAGAGGGGACGGGCGCGGGCGCGGAGGCGGGGTCGGGGAGGAGGGGAAGGAATAGAGGGCGGGGTCGGAGGAGGCATGGATGGCGGCGACGGAGCTGCGCTTGCGCCTGGGGCAGGCGAGGGGTGTGGGGTCTGGGCGGAAGGGGGAGGAGGTGGCGAGGAGGAGGCGGTGGCCGGAGCAGCGGCGGCTGCGGTGGAGGAGGCGAGGGGATTGCGGGGGTTTGGGGTAGGGGAAGGGGGTGGCCAAGCCGGTCGGCATGGCTGGCTGGGGCTTTGGGTTTTGGACCTGTCGGAGTTGAGATTTTCCTTACCTTCAATTTCCCCCATCGCCACTCTGTGCGAGATGGACTGGAAAGTTGGGCCTGAGCGGCCGATCTAGCCCACGAAGATTCGGCTTTACCACCAGATGGCCGGCCCATGAACAGGTAAGGTTGAAGCAAACTAAAATTAAAAGACATGGTTGGTCCCAGCCGCCTGAGGGCGTCATCAAACTTAATGTCGATGCAGCATTTCATCAGGACACTGGTACAGGGGGTACTGGAGCAGTGCTGCGTGATGAAGCCGGTTTCTTTGTTGCTGCTTTTTGCAGTGATATACCCTTTGTGGAAGACGCGTCGACGACAGAGGCTAGAGGACTACGAGATGGCCTCCTACTAGCGAATGAAGTTGGTTGTAACAAAATCTATGTCAAAGCGGATTGTGATGTGGAGTATCCTACGGTCATTCCCATGGACCTATCATCGTCTCACGAAGTGCTAAGAGGACCCATGACTCGAGCTAGAGCTAGAGCTCTCGAGACCGAGGTGACTTCTCTCCTTAGTGATATTACATATGATCCTATCGAGACATGGCTACTACCTAAGTCCGAGATGTTGTGCACGATTAGGTACCAAGAGGACCCTCCCGAAGATGCACGTGAAGACGAACAAGCCGCCAAGTTCACGGATGAAGAGAACCAACGGAAGGAGTCAAGAACAACTCCCAGGCCCCGGACATCCGGCCCCTAGAAGCGTCTACAGCAGCAAGGAGCCAGCGGCCAAGTCTACAGGGCCCGGACATCCGGCGTCCGGCCCGGACATCCCGCCCCCGCCCGGAAATCCGGCCTTCCGCCCGGATATCTGGACACCGCCTATCCAGAGGACAGAAGAGAAGCACCGGCAGCCCGGACATCCGGCCCGACCCCCGGACATCCGGCCCTGTCTGTCTGCGCATAGTAAAGGGCTGAAGCCCATGTACCCTTTAGCCTCCTAGACTATATATACTCTCCTCCTACCATGTTTTAGGGTTATCATTGGTTTAGCTCATTTGAGATATAGCTTTGCTCATCCACATCGGATCTACTCCACCAGAGAGACCGCGGCCCCTCTTCGGAGAAGATCCCTTTGGATTCAAGACCTCCTTGCGGAGAAGACCATCAAGACCTCCTCACGGAGAAGACCTGTTACCTCTTGTATCGTCCTTAGTTGCCCGTGGATCGTGTGATCTCTTATGTACTCGAGGATCTAGCATATGTGTGACTATTTCTTATTGGTTTAGTGATTCTCCTGTGTTTCCCCTTGTGTTTTCCCTCGTGATTTCCCTCGTGTTCTTCGCGGGATCCGCTCCTTTCGTGAAAGATCGGCCCCTAGGGTTCCTACCCTACATCATCCTGGTATCTAGAGCCACGTTGATCATGATTTCAGAGTTTCCCTGTTGTGTTTCTAGCCTTGTTTTTGTTGATTTTGTCCCTAATACGAAAATTTCCCCACAAAAATAGCCCCACTTTTTTTTGTGATTTGTTGGTGTGATGAAGTTTTGTTGAATTTGATCCGCAGATTTCGTTTGTTGCATGTAGATCTAGCTTTCCCTCCGCTTTTCCCCAATTTCCATCCACAAATTTCTCCAAATTTTGCCCAGATTTGCCACCTTCCACGCGGTGTTCGTCCGGATCCAGAGCCCGGACATCCGGCCCGACCGCCCGGACATCCGGCCATCAAGCCCGGACATCCGGCCCCTGGCAGCATCACTTCCTCTCCATCGCCCGTTTTCCATCCATATTTCACCAAATTTTGTTTCGGTGCCCACATACACTTCCGCATACCACCACCACTTCCGCATAGCATCGCCATATACCACATACACCATCATCACTTACCACTACCAACTCCGACAATTTTGTCACGTTTTGCTTTGAGAATTTGAGTTGCGGTTCCGTGTCCTATTGTGTTTTGGCTATTTAGGTACGGTTCGACATCAACATCACCACCGCTCATCTTCGCCACGAACGCGTCATCGACAACGACCATCTCGACAACATCATATTGTATTCGTGCCACTCATTTGAGCACCGTCATCGTTCTTGCTTACGGACAAGGAACCAACGAACGGTAACCTCATCTTGGTATTGGACATATAATTCTTGTCATTACATTGATAGCCATCATAGCCTTACTCCTTTGCGTCGCTTACCCATCGAGACTAGCCTTTGAGTATTGCCGGCAATGTGACTTGTGCACATTAGTGATCATACTTCCCATAGCATACATACATCATTGGTGCATATCTTGGTATCATCTCTTGTGCCACAAGGTTGTCATCGCATACACAATTGCTATCTTGGTTCGTGAAGCATTGCATGAGAAAATAGCTCAAACAACAAAGAGCCAAACAAGCTTTTAAGAAAAAGGGAAAGATAAGCAAAGAGCTTTTAAGCAAGAACCATAGCATCATACAACATTAAGATTGTCATACTAGATCATGTTGGATCATATCATCGAAACACCATACATAGAGCATACTTGGGATAGAAGTCGTTGCATTTTTGCTTAATAGGTTGTGCACAAGTCTTCGTATCTGCCTATTGTGCAATCGTGCTAGCGTCTCTCTAGTGTTGCGCAACAAGAGCATTTTCGTGGATTGCACATTTTGGCTCATCCTTGGTTGCACGACCCCACTTATCTCTTTGCGTGTGTGTGTTTCCGTCTACCTTATATTGCTTGGTCTACTTGTTGCATTGCAAACTTGCGAATCTTTTCCAACATTATTGAAGCTCACTAACAATTACATCAAATTTTGTGCCACCATCCTAACCAAGCCCCACCATAAGCTTTTACTTGTGTAGGTGTGAGAAACCGACAAGAATTGGTACCAATTGTGTTATTTCCTTGTTCCACATTGGAGTGATCATTGATCCACCTTCAACTTCGGTCAAGGTACATTTGGTATACGTTCTTCTCTTTATCCCACTCACATATTTCTCTTGGAATGATGGATAGGCCAAGTACTTCTACCAACCCACTCTTCATCGGGCAAGACGACGACATGAACTCCTACGTCACAAAGAGCCACCTCTTTGGTGCACAACGTGCTTTGCATCAAGAGCAACAAGCAATGAGTGAACGCATCGACAACCTCGCCACCGACTTGCGACTCTCCGAGCAACGTACGAGAGACTACTTCGACCACAAGCTCGACGACCACAAGAAAGAGAACGACGCAAGAATGGACGAGATTCGTGCTTTGTTGCTAAACCGCTCTTCTTCCACTTCGTCCTCATCAAGACGGAGCCGCTCAAGTCGACACTCCGACTTCACCCTCTCTGGCTCAAGTACACCGACATCGAATACTCTTCGACGTGCCGCGCGGAACGATCGTCAAGCAAGCCTAAATCCTCTATGCGACAATGACTCTCAAGAACAATGTCATCGTCAATACCAAGCGACCTTTGCGCAAGCACGAGAACGGCAACGACAACGCCAACACGAAGAGGAAGAGCGAGCGCGTATTCACCAAGAAGCACAAGATGCCGAGGCACAACGTCAAGAGCAATAATTGCGAGATGCTCAAGCACTTGAGGCGCAACAAGCCCTCTGAGATTCAAGTCGAGCCGTAGCCAACCGAGGCCGACAAGCTCGTAAACATGAAGAAGCACTTCGTGAAAAAGTTGGCGAACGAAGATATCAAGCTCGCGTGCAACGTCAAGCTCGACAAGTTCCTCCACAAGCTCGCCAAGAACATCAAGTTCACCAAGAGCAAGAAGACAATGGAAATCCTCCACGACAAGAGCAAATTGTGAGAGATGATCCTCCTCGTCAAGGACGTCATCATCCCCGTCCCGAACACAATGAAGACCAACGCTACGGCAAGTTAAAGTTCACCATGCCCAAGTTCAATGGAAGCAACGATCCCGAAGAGTACCTTTCATGGGCATTGAAGGTCAACAAAATCTTCCGCTTGCACAACTATGAAGAAGAGAAGAAGATCGCGATGGCATCCCTTGAGTTCCAAGACTATGTCCTCATTTGGTGGGAACAAGTCATCAAGCGCCGTGAGGCAAGAGGTGAACCACCCATCACTACTTGGGCGCAAATGAAGGATGTCATGCGAGCACGCTTCGTGCCTACCTACTACAACCGCGACCTCTTCAAGAAACTCCAACTACTCAAGCAAGGAACCAAGAGCGTTGAAGAGTACTACAAGGAGATGGAAATTGCCATGATAAGAGCCAATGTCACGGAAGATGATGAGCAAACAATGGCACGTTTATTGAATGGACTCAATCATCCTATCAAGAAGATCGCCGACTTCCAACCATACTCGAACCTCATCGATCTAGTGCATCAAGCTACTAAAGCGGAACGCCAAGTGCAAGATGACTTCAAGTATGCCAAGTTCTCATCCAAGTCATACGGCTTCTCCAACACCCAAGCTTCAACGACTCCAACATCGTCTACCAAGCCTTCAACAAGCAACATCGACAAGTCGAGTTACAAGAAAACTTCGACTACCCCAAGTCATCCTCCTACAACAAGAAACTTC